AGGAAACCCCCAGATCTAAGATATTCCCTGGAGAAGGTGCCAAAGGGATGGAGCATACACTGGACAATGTGCTTTCTCTTTGGGCTGAGCAAAGCACTGCCTTCCGTCTTGCCCATTCTAGCACTGACAGGACTCAACATACCCCAGAGGGCCAAGGTCCACTGAAAATGAATGCAGCATCAAACTCAGCATTGAGCTTTCGATGATTTTACAAATCTCCAGCCAAGCATACTAGCAAGGGTCTTGTCCTGTATGAGGGCAGTGCATCATGACTGGAGAGGGAGTTATTTTGTCATTCATCAACATAAAGAGCCAAGGAAAATGAAGAATCAGGGGAATATTTTCCAAACTAAAGAGAAACTAAACCAAGAAAAGTGAAATGAAGATGTATGATTAGCCTGATACAAAACTCAAAATACCCGTCATGAAGATGCTCAGCAAGCTCAGCAGGACAACACAATTCAGAAAGCAATAATTCCAACATAGAAATAAGTAGTCCAAAAAAGAACAAAACAGACATCTTTTAAGGCTTTTATTTATGTATATATTTATGTATGTATGTATGTATGTATTTATTTTTAGGGAATCAGTTTTACTTTTGATGCTGTTGTTACATAGTTCAGAAGGATGCATACCCATGTGAATCACCGATCAGCTTGGAAAGGGTAAAAGATTGGGGGAAAGTGGATAAGCCAATTGCTTGAAATTCCTGTATCTGAGGGGAAAGGGAGAGGGTTGCTTCAAGCAGCACAGACGCATCGGTACCCAGGGAGGGGGATGGCCATTTCATGTCAGCCAAGGGTTGCCAACATGAAGCATGTTCCAAGGGGGCTGCTTAAGTGGTTTCATCAGTTCTGAGAATGTTGTTGATTTCATTGCTCCAAGGTTGAGGAGATCTGTCCAAGGTCCATTAATTGACATATTCCACCTCAGAGTCTCCATTTGCCCAGATACACACTGTCAATCTTGACCCAGTGAGTTGTTCAAAAGAGGCATCTTAGAGATTAAAATACAACAAAGTGAAAAGCCCAATTAATGGATTACTACTGCAGATTGAACCAGGCAAAAGGAAGGATCAGCAAAAGCCAAAGATAGATCACAGAAAAATCACTCAAAGAAGTAAAAATCAAAGACAATTTTAAAAGAAGGATAAATGCTTTACTGGATCATTACGGGACACTATGGGAGTTCTCAAAGAATAAAGAGATAAATGGAGAGAAAAATATTTGAGAAAATAACAAGAAGAAGATTCCCAAATCTGGGGAAGGTAATGCACATCCAGTTTCAGGGAACACAACACATCCCAAAAAGGATAAATCCAAAAAATTTCTCACCAATTTGCTAAACATGTTTATATATCTGAATAGGGAACAAAAAGAGAGAACCTTTCATCTGCTAGTTCATTCCCCAAAAGCCCCAAAGTACCTCACCTTCTAGCAGGTTGCACAGAGAAGCCTGGAAGTCAGTTTGAGGCTCCTGCATGGTTGCCATGCCACCAAGCATTTATGCCATTACTTGCTGCCTCCAGGTTAAAAATGAACAGGAAGCTGAAATCAGCAGTAGAGACAGGACTCAGACACAATCATTGCAATATGAGGTGCAGGCTTCCAAGCAGTGCCTTACTTAGCCTGCCAACACTCGCCCAAGAAAATTTTGAAAGTAGCAAAGGAAAGAGCAATTTGTCACACATGAGGGAACACTAACAAGATGGTCGGTAGACTAATCAGAAGGAAGTGTAATGATATATTTAAGTGCTGAAACAAAACAAAACAAAACAAAAAATCCAAAAACCTCTGAACCATGTGCACTATACCAGGACAAACTATCTTAGGAATATAAAGACACTAACCCACCATTATAAGACAAGGTAAAGGGAGCTCTTTAAGCTCAAATGACTGCCAAACAGCAACACAAAGGCATCTGAAATATAAAACTTTCTAATAAGGGTAAATACATAAACAAGTGTATCAGACTGCAATGGAGGTAGATAAATCATTTTAATTATAATGTGTAAATTAAAAGAAAATTACTTAAAATATATTAAAATATCAAGTGACTTAAATTATGGCATTAATAACAAACTGTTGGAAAGTTTAAGGTATAGAACATTTTTTATAATTTAAATTAAGATAGAATTTGAGATTAAATCACTAGAAGCTGTTTGATGAGAGTCCCACAATAACCACAAAAAAAAAACCACCTACAGGAAATACATTCAACAGAAAGAATTCAACATATATCAATATCCAAAGTGTCATTGTAATGCAAAGGAAAATATCAACAGAAGAAAAAAAGTTACTGCAAGACATGAAAATCAACCCAATGGCAATAGTGACTCCTTCCCAGCATTGTCAGAATAAATAGGAATAGTTTAAAGATTAGGTACTCAATTTAGAAAGAATGACAGCAAAAAACAAAACAAAACAAAAAACCAATATCCCACTACGTTTTACCTACAACTGGCTCACCTTATGCTTAAGTAGACACGTGGGCTGAAAGTGAACCTATGGTTCGTGTCCTGGCGGATCCACTTCCCACCCAGCTTTCTGCTTATGCCCTGGGAAAGAAGTGAAGGATGGCCCAGGTCCTGGGCCTATAATCCACATGGGAGATCCGGAAAAACTCTCAGCTCCAGGTTTCAGATCAGTTCCACCCTGGTTATTGCAACCATTTGAGGAGTGAATCAATGGATTAAAAAAAAAAAAAACTCTCTCTGCTTTTCCTTCTCTCTGTAACTCTGCCTTTCAAAAATAAATAAATAAGTAAATCTTAAAAAAAAAATACCAGCAGTGTCTATTCTTTCACAGATATGCAATTTGTTCAGGTTTCATCAGAAGCTACCTGCCTCTGCTCCACTCAGCAATGATGGCTAAAAGGCTTGAGATTCAGGTCATCACATGCCTGGTGATCAGCTGGAGTGATTCAGGCCTTCGGCCTGGAGCTGCTGGGGATACTTGGCAATTCTTTTCTCTGTGTGTGGTTTCTCCACATGATCTCTCAGCACAGCAGTGGAGGGGAGGCAGGGATTTTTCATGGTGACTCAGGATTCCCAAGGTAGTTGCACTTTCTACAGAAAAGCCATGCAGAAGTTGTCTTATATAACTCAACCTCAAGAGAAACACAGTATCGCTTTGCAACATAATCTCCCTGAGAATGAAGTGACTAATGCCAGACCACATTCAAGGGGGGCGGGGGGGACAAATGGACTCCATTTTCTAATCGGATAGGATGGCACATTATGGACTTAATTGATATATATTTATTTACATTTATGTAAACAAGGATTTTGTAAACATTAATAAAGAAATGTTTATTTTGGTTTTTTTTAAATTTTTCTATTGTACTTTTGACAATCTTTACATAGTTAATTACGGAAAAAAAGGTTCAAGGGCCATAGGGAAGTGGGTAAGACTATTAATTCCATATTATTTCGAGAATGTTTATTTTGGTGCAAAAAAATCCTTCCATGTGTAATTCTCTCTTGATTATTCACATGTTCAATAAGCTTTTTAATATCCCTTCATGCATTAAAAATGCATATATTTTAAAACACCTATCTATGTTATTTGCTTACTATCTAGATAGATAGATATGTATATATATAAACATACAAATATCTAGTATATTAAGTATAATCTTAAGGCTGTGCAATAAAGAATTAGTAATCTTGGGCCTGGCATGGTAGCCTAGTGGCTAAAGTCCTCACCTTGCATGTGCCAGAATCCCATATGGGCACCAGTTCTAGTCCTGGCTGCTTTGCTTCCTTTCTAGTTCCCCGCTTGCAGCCTGGGAAAGCAGTCAAGGACAGCCCAAAGCCTTGGAACCCTGCACCCGTGTGGGAGACCTGGAAGAGGTTCCTGGCTCCCGGCTTCGGATTGGCTCAGCTCTGGCCATTGTGGTCACTTGAGGAGGCAATCAGTGACTAGAAGATCTTGCTCTCTGTCTCTCCTCCTCTTTGTATATCTGACTTTCCAAGAAAAACACATAAAACTTTTAAAAAAAACTTATCAGTCTCTATATGTGGTAGGCAGTTCAAAGTCAAGGTCCATTTATTTTGTTTCTTTTCTGCAGATCACCAAATTATAATTTAGAAATCATATACAAATAACATAATTAAGCAAAAAAAAAATGGAGAGTATCTTAAGTTTTCAAACTTCTTTTGAAATTCTGGAAGAATTCCTTTGTGTCTTTTACTGACCAAAATCTAAAAAGAAAACATTTTGTAGAAACAGAGACAAAGCATGACCAAGCACCCAAGTAATCTTACAAGTTTTAATCTTCAACATACTTTTCCATATTCATGGTAGGTCCATACCAGACTCCCCAGAAGACTAATACTTCAATGCAGTCTTGCCTGTGTCCCAGGGTTGGACAATGTCCCCCCAAGAACATAATTAGGATGTGTCAGATTTAGTCTCCAGTATTTGTGAATATGATTCTACTTGGAGCTTCATATTTTACAAGTATAAATAAGTTAAGGATCTCAAGATCATGCTTGATGTAAAAATGGTCCTAAACCTAATCGTTATTTCCCCTGTATGACAGGAAGGAAATATTAGAGGCACAATCAGGAAGACCATGCAAAAAAGGAGGAACAGATTGTACTGAGAAATTAACAAACAGCAGAACACTATGAAGTGCTACTGATAGAGGAGAAACAGGTAACAGATTCTTCTTCAGAAGCTCCAAATGGAACCAACACTGAACCACCTTCATCTTCAGAACTTTAGCAAAATGTGTTTCTGTTCTTGTAAGATGTCACGTTTTTGGTAATTCATTATAGCAGGAATAAAAACAAATACAACCTCCATTGTATCAATAGCAAAATTACGGATTATCTGAAGTCTAAGTGCAACACCCCAGTCGGTAGCTCTATAACGGAAAACCTTAATTTCTTTCCATTTCATCTATGTGTAGTGTTAAGCTTTTTATTGCATTTACCTGAAAATCAGAGATGCAAAAAGATTAAACAAAGATTTTTCATCTGCTGATTCACTCACCAAAACCTAACAAGAGCTGAAGCTGAGCCAGGCTGAAACCAGGAGCCAGGAGCTCAACCATGACCACACGTGTAGACTTCAGGATTTCAATGACTGGAGTCATTACCTGTTGCTTTCCAGGGCACACAATAGTAGAAGCTGGACTTGGGAGCAGCGCCACAGCTCGAAGCTAGGCACTACACACAGGATGTAGATGTCCCCAGATAGGATCTTAGTCACCATGCCAAATCCTCAGCCTTCAATTCCCTTTCTTGAAGATCATCCACACAATGGAGAGAAAGCACACAACATTATCATACTAAGGATATGAGAATAAGATGAAGATATCCACCTTGCACGGTGTGGGGTTTCAAAGGCATCCGTATGCCGCATGTTCTATAGTGAGGAGAATGTCAGCAGTGACCCTTGGCCAACAGAAATTCCAAGTGTTTAAGGATTTTAAAACAGCAAGCATCATCTCACACTGTGATTGTGAAACCGTTCCTAACCCCCATCTCTCAGCAAAGCATATCAGGAGTAGCTCCTGAAGAGAATCATTTGCAGCTAATTTGGTAACCACTGCGAATGACAGAAATGCTCTGTGCTTACAATGATGGACTCTAAAGTATTTCCTGAGTAGCGCTTTGTCTAAAATACTCTTTACTGATCTAGTACAGGGTCACGATCTTGTTTTCCATTTGGTAGCTATGGTGTTACATTGAGTCATTTTTAAAGAATGCTGAAATAGGCCTTTTTAAAAAAAAAACCACAATTTTATACTTTAAATATACAGTTCATTCAGATATGCTAAGGCCTAAATTATCTAGACAGCTGTCAAATTAAAATCCCAAGAAAACTTAAATCTTGAAATAGTTATATTTTATGTGCTTAATATTATCTGTGCCTGTAAAGTATTTAAGGAGAGAGGGATGCATGCTTACTAGAGGAAGAAATGGCACATCAGTGGAGTCGCCAAAGCCCCCTATTAAGCTCACCCCACCCTGGATCTTACGTGTACTGTTGGGTACTTCAACCCTATCTGGCATGGTCCACCTCACTCGGCAATCTCCGATAGGTGCTATAGCCTAGCTTGGCCTGGTCTGCTTCTTTTCCAGCTCATGCTGGCAAATGTTGCAGCCCAGCACAGCCTAGCCAGCCCCCAGTCCTGGTCCTAACACGAACTGGCTGGTATTGCTGCCATACCAGACAGTCCCTCACTGCATTCTGGTTCTCATGTCTGCCAGTGAGTGTGTCTGTTTTCAAAGCTAGTAATCTCTTCACCAGTCCCAGGTGGACAGAGCACTGCAAGCAAGAAACACATCCAAAATATAAAGGAATCAAGATACTGCCTTCACTTGTCTGTTTTTTGTCTACCTTTCCACATACCATCAGACAGGCATGTAGCCCCTCAGTAGGGGCTTGGATATGATCGGATGTCAAGTGTGTTGGATTTGATGGGATGCCAAGCGTGTTGTGATTCATGATTTTATTCTGGATGTGAATATAGTTCTTACATTCTCGGAATATCCGATGGGAATTCCAAAAGAAGGAATCCCCTACCGCCAGGAAGGCATCTTACCTTTATTTAAAAAGAAAAGTCTTTTTATTAAAAAAAAAAAATTGCTCAAGGGGAGGCCTTTGATATTTCACATTGTTGTCAGTTCATGACAAATAATTATTTCATTGCTAACAAGGAATTTTTTACAACAAATTTTCCTAATACCATAGGGGAGAGCAAGTTTTAATCTTTCCAAAAGGTGAAATTTAAAAGGTATGTTAACAAGACATCTATATATTTAATGCTACCTAATGAGACCTTTTTTAGTTAGCATATTTTTTGGCTGATAGTTTAAGACCACTAATTTTATCTTCACTCTGACTTTAATGTTCCTTTAAATATTTATAAGGCAGCTTATTAAAAGCATTTCATTCCATTAATTTTATTATGCCATAATACATACATTATTAATAGCAAGCATGGTTTATGCTCTAATGCTGCAGCATGCTCTTTAATGTGTTTAAGTAAATGTTTTGCCATATGTTTGTTAATACATATATGACACTGTAAGAAATGAAAAGAAAAGGCATAGTAAGAAATGAACTTGAGTTTCCCAGAAATTTTCATTCTCACTGCTCAAATATAACAAAGGCTATCAACATAAATGTCATATAACTTCCTAAGCAGGTGCAGGGTATGTTTTTGAAAAGGGGAAGGCAAATTCTTTCATGGTGGTCCCAACAGGGAACAAACCATAGCCAAATGTGAATTTACTTACAACTAAGCATTGGATGGGAGAAAAATAATATGTGTTAAATATATATGATATATGGAAATCAGTGATATTTGTCAGGCTCTGCTTTTACAAAGCAACATTTTAGCTGTCTGCAGAAGCTGACTTGCAATCCTGATAGAATAATGCCCTGTATGTGTTGTTGACTGCCTCTATAATGACACATTCCAATACATACAGGCAATACCTTGGCTTCATTTCCATGAAGCTTGCTACACACACTCAATAAGGTTTGTCATGAATGCTGCTTCTATCAACAGCGAGGTCTTTCATTCATTCTTATATATTACTAGTTCATCACAAATCTGATTAAAGCCTCAGGACCATGGCAAGAATACAATAAGGGAAGGGTGGGGTAAATTTTACATATGGGCTATTTCACAAATTATGGATTTGGCCTAAGGATTTCTTTTAATTTTTAAAATAAAATATCAAGGGGCCTTTGCAGTGTCCTGGCAAGCTACTCTTCTAACAAATTCTTTTGTGTTTGGGAGATGGCACCTCCTTACAGATACCCCCTCACTGTGGATTATTTAGTTGCACATCTGTGCCACGCTTAGGCAGGCGTCCATTCCTACTTATGCAATATACTGACTAACAGAAATGCAAACATGACCAAAAGCAGATTAAATACAGTGTTTCCAAAGATATTTTCAACAAGAACTAGGAATAAAAAGAGAAGAAAGAAAGGAGGATGAAAGCCACAACCAGAAAAGAAATGCATAAACATAAGCAGCCACGGTGCCCTCTGGGTGCCAGGACTGAAACCTAAACGTCTCTGGTTCTGGGTCAGCATTTGTAACCACCATCAGAGAAGCACTCATGGTTATTCCCACACTTCCTAGCTGCCACCCCCTCACTCAGAAGGCTACTCTGACACCCACTTTAAAGAGGAAAACATCCTAAGAGGGAAACTCCTCAAGTTCCTGCCACAGCACCTGCATTGCTTTCCACACCGAATCCTTCCAACCCCTCAGAATGGAAGTCGCCTCCCTTTGGAAACTCAGTTCCCTCAGCGCCCCAATTCCAGATCTCTTAAACAAAATGGCCAATCTTATAATGTATTATTTTTCTTTTTTACATCCCCTATCTTATTCTCATTATTGCCTCTTGCTTACAGACTTAAAACTATTTTTAAATTTTGCAATTCTTGAAGAACAATAAGCATTACAATATTAACTTATTCCAACATATCTTTTTCCAAGTATTATTCAACTATTTTCTCCCAATATTATAGTCAATTTTTTTGCTTGTTTATATGCCCAGAGGCAAGATACTGTATTAATGTAGTTCACAATGATATGTGGCCATCACTCCAAGCCTGGTTCACTTTATTTATTTGTTTGATTCTTTTGATCCTTCATTTTTAATCCTACAATAAGCTTCTATGAGGGCACTCTCCCAAACAAAAGCAAGATCATTGTATAAGTATCAAGTCCTCATACAATTCCTTGAATTTTCACTTTTAAGATGCTGTATCAAGCATTTGATGCTTTCCTTTTACTATATAAACAATGTGGCAATCAATTTATAATGAATCAATCATAAATTGAAAATATCGCAGTTTAAAATGCAACACTTACCCAAGCTGTAGACAGCTGCATAAGCTGCTTTGTACCTAGGCAAGTGTTACTCTGCTGACAGAAAAGCAGGCAGTAGCTAGCTGGCTTTGGCTTTCTGGTCCCGGTTAATGCAAACTCTGTGTTAACTATTTCAGTGTGACAGAATAGTTACATATTCTAATTATTTAAAGATATGGGGGAAGGGAACAGAGCACCCACCATGCCACTATGGGTAAGCACCAGTAGAGTGCACACCAGGAAGGCCGTGCATTGCTGGAGGCCTGGGGACTGGGGACAAGTTGGAATGGGGATCACTGAGGGTTTGTTTAACATATATAAGATGATTTCTTGGGACTTCCACATGCCAGGCCAATGTACCTGCAGGTAATTAGGGGAGCTAGGGTGGGGCAGATCAGAAGGAAGAATCCAAAGGGCCTTCCTGGAGCAAGCCAAAGCACTTGTCCATGCCCACAAGAGCCAGAGCTGGGGTGGACCAAACCAAACTAGGTCATAACACATGCTGGTGCATAACACTCACTGTGCACACAAGACTGGGGCTGGAGACAGGCTGGGCAGGGTTAGACCACAGAAACTGCAGCATGTGCTAAAACCAGGGGCTGGGGAGAGCCTCATAATCGTTCTTTGGGATCATCCTGACCAGCCAGTAGTATCTACTGGTGTGTTTAAGGGCTAAGCCTTGGGGCGGAATGGGCTGGGCTAAGCTACAACACCTGCCAGTGTGCAGTTCACGTTTAAGGAAGGGCTGGGGGGACACAACAGACTAAGCAGCTGCACATATATTGGCTAGTACAGAGGGCGAATTGAGCCAGACCCTGTAGCAGCTGGTGCCATAAAAACAAGGTCTGAGGACCTCTGAGGTGACATTTCTTATGGGGCTACTAAACTAGACCACTGCTCTCTATCCCTGACCTCAGAGAAAATCACAGACATGTCACCTGACCTTGGAATCACTTTAGTCATTGATGTATAAGAATGGAGAGCATACCCAGAGGGACACAAAAGATAAGACAGCCATCTCATCTAAGCCAACAGAAGACTTTGAGTACTTCCTCAAAAGATGGAAGGAAGGACCAGTTGAATAACATTCCCAACCAAGCTCTACAACAAGCACCTGGGTCTCTGATCACACTAACATAGGCAGGGACAGCCAACAGGTCCTAGAGTTTCTCACCTCTGGTGTTACTAAGCAGCAACTTTTCAAAACAATCAAAATTACTCAGGTAACACCTCAGAACTTTCTTCACTACATT